CAGTCGAAAACGCAGGGAAGCAGAATATGGGACGACGTCTCCCCGTCCAACCAGTAACCAGCCCTTGTGGCATCTACACGACAAGCGCGCAAAGAAAACTACACTGCAAATTTCTAAAACTAGGCTTAAATGGCAACAACGATAGGGGGCCCGTTGCATTCATTTGCGGTGCTGTTCCTAGGAAGTCAGCGGTCTGGAATAGTATAGCAGAGAGAAAAAGCAGAGGAAGGGCAATTCTCGTACGCAAAACTCGGCTTACCAATGGCAGGCTTAGCAGAAGGTATGTTCTCCTCGTCTGCTTGCACTCTAAATCGCACAAAAGGAGACGCGAAAAAGCGTTGTGGTTTGCTAGTGCTGTCATCCAACTCCACGGGTTGTGCCAAACAACGCACCTCAGCGCTGTCGCTGGAGCACTGAATGCCAGAGAGGACTAAGTGTTTACCGTCGGCCTCTGTCTGGATTTTCTTGGCAAGCAAATTCGAACTCAACGGCTCATCGTCCGTGGTCCGGATGTCCCATGTATACTGCATGCCCGATATCGGTTGACCGGTGGTCTTGTCTAAAAAAGACACGAAGAATGAGTGCCATAGTGTATCGCCTCTGAGTCCTAGAACGAGGAATTCCGGTAGCTTTTGAGTATGAAGAAAATAATTTCAAGGGAGTGTCGCATAAAAGCAAAGCGCTCTTGTTCATCAATATTTGATAAGCTGGAAAAACGACACTCGATAACCCACTCTATTGAACTAACTAACAACAATTCAATTATTGACCAGGCCACACCAAAGCTCTCATATTTTGTGTATGGATACGAACACGTCGGATATGTTAAATTTATACTGAAAACACTATTTTCCGAGATTCAAATTCCCAAATTTAATAAAAAGCGTAAAAACATCCAAAACTAAATTGCAAACACCTGCTAACACGGAGAATCTAACTATCTAAACACCCTTCCTTTTCAATGAGTGAATCATGAAAGTTGATCAGCTGTGATACTTATTAAATTAATTACGGACCAATGAAATAAATCTTTCGTCAAGGTGACTATTATATGGAGCAAAATAACATAGAAAGTCGGGTTCTTAGTTCTTGACTAATATATCTACTAAGACGAGCTTCGGAGGGTAAAAATCGACACACGAAAATTCGTCCTAAAGCAGAGACAACTTATTTTCATTTTTCACACGCTCTGCTGTTTTCTGGTTTTATATTATTGCATAGTAAATACATTTTGTGATTTCAACAATAATCTCTATTTTCAAAAATTATTCCGTGCAGTTACACCGGCCTGATCTCGTCTAATGTGTTTTGCCAATTTTTAAACTTACTTATGGCAGCGCAGATCAGTGTTTTATCCGAACCCACAGCGACCTCAAACACGTTCGTCTCATTCATACCCTGTATTTTGACGACGACGTCCGGAACTAAAAGGAAATAGAATAGCGATAAATTGACCGTTTATTGTGGCAGTTGCACTGAATTTTGTTCCCGAAACAGTTTAAACGGCAGTAAAAGAGATAAGGAAATTATTCGAATTAGGACTAACTGTAAAAATTCAGTCCTAAATAAAAAAAGCACATGCACTAACAAGG